TTTTTTTGGAGACAGAGTCTTGCTCTATCACCCAGGCCGGAGTGCAGTGACATGATCATGGCTCACTGAAGCCTCGAGGAACTCCTGGGCTCAAGTGATCCTCCGTCAGGATCGCTGGAGCCCCAGAGTTCAAGACCAGCCTGGACAACATAGCAAGACTCTCCCTCTAAGAAAATCAAAATGAAAAAAAGTTTGTAAAATTGTATAGACATTACACAATTCATAAGCAACAGTTTGTAAATATTAAAGTTCTATAATTAAAATACTCACCGCTCTGAGATGAAAAAAAGGTGATCCCTTTTCCAGAAGATTTAAAATTCATTTTGGAAATTCTTTCATGACTTAGAGACTTCTTCATCTTGGACTTTTACCGTTTAAAAAAAATCATAAAGCAAAATATTACTTTTACATCATCATGGGCTAAAACTACAATAAATTAGAAAATTATTTTCTAATTTAGAAAGGCTGTTCTTGAGCTAATTGACTTCTTTTTTGCCTTTTTTTTTTTTTTGACACAGAGTCTCGCTCTGTCACCCAGGCGAGAGTATAGCGGTACGATCTCAGCTCACAGCAACCTCTGCCTCCCAGGTCCAAGCAATCCTCTGCCTCAGCCTTCCAAGTAGCTGAGATTACAGGCTATACAACTTTGTGTATTTTTAGTAGAGATGGGTTTCACCATCTTGACCAGGCTGGTCTTGAACTCCTGACCTCATGATCCACCCACCTCGGCCTCCCAAAATGCTAGGATTACAGGTGTGAGCCACTCTTTTTTTTTTTTTTTTTTTTTTGAGACGGAGAATCGCTCTGTCGCCAGGCTGGAGTGCAGTAACATAATCTCTGCTCACTGCAGCCTCCGCCTCCCAGGTTCCAGCAATTCTCCTGCCTCAGCCTCCTGGGTAGCTGGGATTACAGACAATTGCCACCATGCCCAGCTAATTTTATATTTTTAGTAGAGACCGAGTTTCACCATGTTGGGCAGGCTGGTCTTGAACTCCTGACCGCAGGTGATCCACCCACCTTGGCCTCCCAAAATGCTGGGATTACAGGCGTGAGCCAACACCTGGCCAATTTGATTCTGAATAAGATATTGATATTTATACTATTAAGGAAATGAAAAACAAAATTACTGTATTTACTGAAAGACTCTCAAAAAAAATTTAAAGACTTGAAAATATCCCCCCGGTCTGTTGGGCAAGTATTTATTATATACAGTTAGCCATACTTAGATTCATATATTAATAGCTTTAATTATTATTATTATTTGAGACAGAGTCTCACTCTGTTGCCCAGGCTGGAGTGCACTGGCACAATCTCAGATCTCGGCTCACTGCAACCTCTGCCTCCCATGTTCAAGCGATTCTCCTGCCTCAGCCTCCGAGGTAGCTGAGATTATAGGCACCTGTCAACACAGGTGGCTAATTTTTGTATTTTCTAGCAGAGACTGAGTTTTGCCATGTTGGCCAGGCTGGTCTCAAACTCCTGACCTCAAATGATCCGCCTGCCTCAGGCTCCCAAGGTGCTGGGATTACAGACATGAGCTCCTGGCCGAATGGGTTTAATTACCATGTGTATGTCCCAACTCCCACATTTCCACCTCCAACTGGAGTTTGCCCTTGAACTCCAGTCTTATCTCCAGCCGTGCCACTTGGGTCTCAATTCAGGCACCTTAAGCTTAACATGCCCAAAACCAAGCACTTAATTTTGCTCCCAAAACTCACCCCCCTGCCTCTGTCCTCCACCTCATAATAAATGGCAACTGTGTTCTGCCAATGCTCAGCCCCAAAATCTTAGACTCATCTTTGCCTTCTCTCGCTCTCTCAAACCCTGCACCCTTCAAAACACCTCAGACCTCAGGTCCCAGTCACCACCACCTCCCACCAGGACGGTTCCAAGAGTCCCTCACTGGTTTGTCCAGTGAAGCCACAGAGCTTCCTGACGCCTCTGCTCAGACGGTATCCCATGTCATCCCATCTCACCCAGAATAAACTCCAGGGCCTCTCCCTGGCCAGATGTGCTTCCAGTCACTCAGACCTTGTAAGTGGGAATAAGTGTAGCTTGTGGTAACAGGTGCAAATTCTGCCTGGGTACAAACCCCCAGCTGCACTACTTACTGGTTATGTGACTGTGGGCAAGTTACTGAACCTTTCTGGGCCTAGGTTCCCTCCTAGAGAAAAATGCAGTAACTGAAGGTCATCGGGGCACTAGTCCCTGGGGACTGCTTGGTGCCTGGGAAACACCCATAAATGCTATGGCTGCTGCTCACTTGCTGCTGTCTCCCCTCCTCCCTGGAATGTAAAGTCCATGAGAGCATGGGCTTTTTATTCACCGCTAGGTCCCCAGCACATGGAAGAGAGCTCTTTACATAGTAGGCGCTCGGCAGCAGATGTCTACAGTTAGTTGTCAAGACAAACCTCTGATTTCCTTATCTTGTTAATATCAGGCCAGGGTCCTAACTTGCTGGAAGACGACTTGGCACTGTCAGAGTGAGCAGCATCCGATTCGTGGCTCATGACCTCATTGGGACTCTTGTTCTGGGCGTCCTAAGAATGCACACATGTATCAGAGGGCTTCTGGTTTCCATAGAGATCCATACATGCATACACACACGCGCACACACACACTATTTTAATGGAGTGTAACTGATTTACAATAAACTACACATAAAGTATACTCTTTGATGTGTTTTCACATATCTGCACCTGTGAAACCATCGCCTCAGTCAAGACAGTGAACAGAGGCAGGCACAGCGGCTCCTGCTTGTAATCCCAGCACTTTGGGAGGCCGAGGTGGCCAGATCACTTGAGCCCAGGAGTTCGAGACCAGCCTGGGCAACAGAGCGAGACCCCCAGCTCTAAAAAAATAATGAGCCAGGCGCCTTGGCTCATGCCTTTAATCCCAGCACTTTCGGAGAACAAGGTGGGCAGACCACCTGAGGTCAGGAGTTCGAGACCACCCTGGCCAACATAGTGAAACCCTGTCTCTACTAAAAATACAAAAAATTAGCCGGGTGTGGTGGTGCACGCCTGTAATCCCAGCTACTCCGGAGACCGAGGCAGGAGAATCACTTGAACCCGGGAGGCAGAGGCTGTAGTGAGCCAAGATTGTGCCACTGCACCTGAGCCTGGGCAAGAGATCAAGATTTTGTTTCAAACACACACACGTGCTCACACACACACACAGTGAACTTTTAAGTACGCAGCCCAATGCCCCTTATTCATGTGAAGGCTTCTCCACTCTGGTGGTTGGGAATGCAAACTACCCCCATCCCTGTGCGAGTCCTTGAGGTTCCTCCCCTTCTTCCTGGCAGCTCCTGCCCTGGCCTCCAGCTGCTCCCTCACAGGTGTGCATACCCAGCTGGCAGCTCACAGGGGACCTTCTGTACATCTCTGACACTGGCTGTCCCTATCCATAGAACCCTTTCCTCTGTGGAAGAAAATTCTACCTTTACCTCCCAAAATCACCAGAGTGTGTGAAACTCCAGTGAGCAGAGCAAGAAGGGTGGGCATTCATGAATTTAAAGCTGAGCCTCGCTATGAACTCTAAATCACAGTCCCAAATTGTTGGTCAAAAAGGAGAAGTGATTCACTAGGGGCATGACATGAACGTTCAGTTTCCTTTTTTTTTTTTTTTTAGACAAAGTCTTGCTCTGTCACCAGGCTGGAGTGCAGTGGCATGACCTCGGCTCACTGTAACCTACGCCACCCCGGTTCAAGTGATTCTTCTGCCTCAGCTTCCCAAGTAGCTGGGACTACAGGTGCACACCACCACACCCAGCTAATTGTTATATTTTTGGTAGAGACAGGGTTTTACCATGTTGGCTAGGATGGTCTGGAACTCCTGACCTTGTGATTCCCCCTACTCACCTTGGCCTCCCAGAGTGCTGGAATTATAGGTGTGAGCCACCATTCCTGGCCCCCCCCCCTTTTTTTTTTTTTTGAGACAGAGTCTCACTCTGTCACCCAGGCTGGGGTACAGTGGCACAATCTTGGCTCACTGCAACCTCTGCCTCCCGGGTTCAAGCAGTTCATTCCCTGCCTCAGCCTCCTGAGTAGCGGGGATCACAAATTTTTGTATTTTTATTAGAGACGGGGTTTCACCATATTGGCCAGGCTGGTCTTGAACTCCTGACTTCGTGATCCACTCGCCTTAGCCTCCCAAAGTGCTGAGATTATAGGCATGAGCCACCACACCTGGTCTCCAGTGTATTTTTAGTAGAGATGGGGTTTCACCATGTTGGCCAGGCTGGTCTTGAATTCCTGACCTCAAGTGATCTGCCCACCTTGGCCCTCCCAAAGTGCTGAGATTACAGGTGTGAGCCACTGTGCCTGGCCTGAGTGTCCATCTTTGTGAGCAAGCCCTGGGGACCTGTTTAGCATCCTGAGCAGCACCTCAACAGATCTGCTCTTGGGCAGGCTTTCCACTCTCAGAAATACTAGATCCATATAACAAAACATGTCCTAGTAAAATACCTCTGATTTGTTAATGTGTGTTCTAGCGGTCCACCAGGCATGTCGGTATGTACTCTGACAATTATGAAATCTCTGCTGTGGCTAGGAGTCCACTTCCTGGATTACGGCCAGGAAACACATTTTCCCTACCTTAAAAATATACATATATATATATATATATATATATACACACTTTCAAAATGTGAAAAAGACATCTTGGCCGGGCATGGTGGCTCCTGTAATCCCAGCACTTTGGGATGCCAAGGCAGGAGGGTCACTTGATCTCACGAGTTTGAGACCAGCCTGAGCAACGTGGCAAAACCCCATCTCTACCAAAAAAAAAAAAAAAAAATACAAAAAGGCTAGCCAGTGACTGAGTGACAGTGACTGAGGCCTGTAATCCTAGCACTTTGGGAGGCCAAGGCAGGTGGATCATCTGAGGTAAGGAATTCAAGACTAGCCTGGTCAACATGGTGAAACCCAATCTCTACTAAAAATACAAAAAATGATCTGGGCATGGTAGCACATGCCTATAATCCCAGCTACTCAGGAGGCTGAGGCAGGAGAATTGCTTGAACCTGGGAGGTGGAGGTTGCAGACTCTGTCTAAAATAAATAAATAAATAAATAAGCTGGGTGTGGTAGCATGTGCCTGTAGTCCCAGCTACTCAGGAGGCTGAGGCAGGAGAATTGCTTGAACCTGGGAGGTGGAGGTTGCAGACTCTGTCTAAAATAAATAAATAAATAAATAAGCTGGGTGTGGTAGCATGTGCCTGTAGTCCCAGCTACTCAGGAGGCTGAGGCAGGAGAATTGCTTGAACCTGGGAGGTGGAGGTTGCAGACTCTGTCTAAAATAAATAAATAAATAAATAAGCTGGGTGTGGTAGCATGTGCCTGTAGTCCCAGCTACTCAGGAGGCTGAGGTGAGAAGAGCACTTGAGCTCAGGAGGTGAAGGCTGCAGTGAGCCATGATGGCACCACTGCACTCAAGCCTGGGTGACAGAGTAAATCCCTGTCTCAAAATACAGGAAATACAATTTTAAAAAGTAAAAAGGAAAGACTTCTTAAATTACTTTCTGGAAGGGTTACTAAAACCCAAGATGGTTTTGAGGATGGTTTAACCATTCCAGAATAAAGTTGTTCCTTACTCTGAAATTCTAAGATTACCTAATTCTAAGATATTGTGTGTTACCTGATTTAATATTGTATAAATATTTTCATGTTTATTTCCAGACACATCATCACCTGGAACATTTGCATAGGATTTAGTCATTTGGTCAGTAACACACATAAATGCAAAGCTTAAGAGCGCTTCAAAGAATTCCAGGAAAACCAGCTGAAATAAAAGAAAACAGAGCGATTCCATCATTCTGACACATTTGGAGGTGGAGCATTGATAGGTGTTCATCTCCTGACATCTGAATATGCACACATGTGCACACACAGAGACATGCACGCAGACACACACACACACACACACACAGACATGCACGCAGACACACACGCATACATTGTTTTATGTACTTGTGTTCAGATTGCTTTCAATCAAATCTTGGTTCTTAGGCTGGTCACAGTGGCTCACATCTGGTAATCTCAGCACTTCAGGAGGCTGAGGCAGGAGGATGATTTGAGACCAGCCTGGGCAACATAGTGAGACCCCTTCTCTACAAAAAATTGCTTTTAAAAAATCAGCTGGGCCGGGTGTGGTGGCTCTCGCCTGTAATCCAAGCACTTTGGAGGCCAAGGCGGGCGGATCGCCTGAGGTCGAGAGTTCAAGACCAGCCTGACCAACATGGTGAAACCCTGTCTTTAATTAATAAAATAAAAAATCAGCCGGGCGCGGTGGCTCAAGCCTGTAATCCCAGCACTTTGGGAGGCCCAGGCGGGTGGATCACGAGGTCAAGAGATGGAGACCATGCTGATCAACATGGTGAAACCCCGTCTCTACTAAAAATACAAAAAATTAGCTGGGCATGGTGATGCGTGCCTGTAATCCCAGCTACTCAGGAGGCTGAGGCAGGAGAATTGCTTGAACCCAGGAGGCGGAGGTTACGGTGAGCCGAGATCGCGCCATTGCACTCCAACCTGGGTAA